GTGTACGGGGAGCATGCTGTGGCTTTAATGTTCCTGTATAAGAGTGAGCACCATCTATGCCAAGTGTCTCTGTCTTGACACTGTGTACCAGGAGCATGCTGTGGCTTTAATGTTCCTGTATAAGAGTGAGACATGGACCTGGGAATGGTGTCATTCCATGAGAAGTTTTGAAATCCCTATAATGGGCTTCACTTCATCCCACCTCCTACAATCCTATCAACTAACAAGATCCTGCAGGAATTCTGTGAGGTCAGCAGGGAAAGGAAATCAATCATACTACTGCTAGGAGACCGTGATGCTGCAACCTCCCAAAGCTGCTGCCTTGGCTCTTTATCTCCACTAGCTAATCTAGCTTATTTGTAAAATGACATATTACCTATGCTGTGAAGTTAGCTGGAACTCCAGGCTTAGTAATGGCCAACTATACCGAAACTGAAGTATCAAGGGATGGTATCCTTACTTATTGCTTATTAACAACTAAGCCAGGTCAGATTTACATAGAAGAAAAAGTATGTGTGAGTTATTTTTTGGCTTACTTTCTTTTTGTTTATTCAGAACAAGCTACTAAATAAAATGGATGAATCTCTGGTCTTCACTCCATTTCTTCTAGAAATTGAATCCTATACTATTATCAAGATCTGAACTCAAGTTTACCTATAAATTAGGCTATGCTGGGAGACTGTTTTTTGTGTGGTACTGGGTTATGAAATCAGGACCTCATACTTGCTAGGCTGGAGCTCTATTGCTGAGTCATACCGCCAGCCCTGTTTCTTGCAGATAGTTATGTTTAGGATAGGGTCTCAGTTCAAACAAGGGTTCATGCCTAAGCTGAAATGTGCTTACTTTACGCTTCCCATAGTTTCTGGGATAATGAGCCTACACCACCATGTCAACTTCTCTTCTGTTTAAGTGGAGTCTCATTGACTTTCCTCCTGGGCCAGCCTGGAATCTCAACCATCCATTCTCAACAACCCAAGTTGTGCTAGAAGCACGTTATGGGCATCTGGCTGGAAGAAATTTTGATTGTGGAACCAGGCCTCTTCTGCTGAATTTTTCTCATGCTTTTCACTAATGGTATCACCGATTCCTTCCATTCCTTTCTTGCACATCAACTTCCTAACTTTTTAGGATACTTAGGAAATACTGTTCAAATTCAGTTCTTTTTTTTTTTTTTTTTTTGGGTCCGGTCGTGGGGCCTGAACTCTGGGCCTGGGCGCTGTCCCTCAGCTCTTCAGCTCAAGGCTAGTGCTCTACCACTTGAGCCACAGTGCCACTTCCGGCTTTTTTCTTTTTGCTTATGTGGTGCTGAGGAATCGAACCCAGGGCCTCATGCATGCAAGGCAAGTGCTCTACCACTGAGCCATCTTCCCAGCCCTCAAATTCAGTTCTTAAAGAATAAGATTTAACCCATGTTAAGCCTAGAAATCTAAATAACTGACTTGGCTTAATCCACAAACATCAAGTTGTTCTGGATCACACACACTGTCCCTTTGGCCAGTGACCATGAGCCCATTTTTTCCATCCATACTACCTGTAAGACTTGTTGACTTTTTCTTAATACTCTCAAGGCTAATCTAATTCCTTTAAATCATCAGGCACTTCTTCCCCCAAATTTAAACTAAATAGATTTATCTTCTATCCTTACTGTCTATCACTACCTGGGAAAGGCCTGGTTGTCAGTATTCAGCTCCAAATTCTCTGGCATGAAGCCAAATTATAGTAACTGATTCTTATTCCTAAATGATGGACAGAGGGAAGAGGAGGGAAAAATTAGTTAACATTATCATTAATAAATCAACAACAAATCATAAAACATAAATGTGTAAGTCATATGAAATATATAGTTCTTAAAAGTTTATATCCCCTAGCCAGGTACTGGTGGCTCACATCTGTAATCTTACCTACTCAGAAGTCTGGATCACCCAAGCAGGAAAGTCTGTGAGACACTAATCTCCAATAAATTATGGGGGGGGAGGGAAGAAAAGAAAAGCTAGAAGTAGATTTGTGGCTCAAGTGCTAGAATACTAGCCTTGAGCAAAAGAAGCTCAGACAGTGTCCCCAGTTCAAGCCTGAGGATGGACACAAACACCCCGCCCCCCCACATACACACACTTGTAGCTCCTACAAACATGGGGAAAGGAAAAATAACAAGTAGCACATAACAAACATAACTAAAGCAACAAGTAGCATACGCTAATACCAGATGTCAAATTAGCATGTTCTAAAAAGCATGAGATCTTGCAAAAAAACATTTCACAGAGACAGACATTAAGCAAGGAGTGGTATCACTCTAAGTACTACTGTCTACATCACTCTCATTCGACTTCAGTGAATTTTCATTTTCTTTCTGATTGGGGATTTTATCAGCTCAGAGTTGGTGCCTCTGCCCTATCTACTCAGTCAATTACATAAGAACAGATTGAAGTTTTTCCATTCAATTACTGAAACAAATCCAGCCAGAAGATGTACTACTTAATACTCAAATGTATACTTCATATATTCTCTACTTTCTGACACTAAGGCTTACTTATCTATAATTCACAGAGAAAAATAACAAATCAGAAATAGTTATGGCAAGAGAGACTATCAGGAGGATTCAAATGAGAGCCAAAGGAGAGAAAAAGAGAGGGAACTTAGAATTCATAATCAGCATTATATATGCAATATAGTCATATCGTGATTAAGATACCTTGACCAGACAGACCTGGTTTGAGTTCCAGTTCTACCACTAGTTGTCTATGTGATATAAGAAAACTACTTATTCTCTGCAAGTTCTGATTTTCCTCATTAGTAAAGATAGGAATATTTGTCTTACAAGGAATTTAGCACAATGTCACCACATTGCATGTAAGTCCTTCATAAACCCAGGTGTTCTGAATCATCATTATAGTTATTTGAATGGTGCTGTGTTGCCACTGCATATATAAATGGTAATGTACTGCAAAAAATGGTTATAAGTAATTAATGACCATAGACACATATTAAAGAACACAAAGGCTGGGCACTGGGGGCTCATGCCTGTAATCCTAGCTACTCAGGAGGCTGAGATTCGCAGCCAGCCTAGGCAGGAAAGTCTATGAGACTCTTATCTCCAATAAACTCAGAAAACCAGAAGTGGCATTGTGGTTCAAGTGGTAGAGTGCTAGCCTTGGGCAAAAGAAGCTCAGGGAGAGTGCACAGACCTTGAGTTCAAGTCCTAGTACTTGGGGGGTGGGGGGAAGAACACGGAGATACAAAAATATGAATATGGAATTATAAGATTAACATGCTCAATTAGAGGATAAATGTGGACTGTAACACGGATGAGTGAAGGGTAGTACTGACAATTGCATGTTCAGACTGGATGGACAAACTTCCTCTCTTTATATTAGCCTGACTTTCCCTCAACTTGTAAAATGAAGTGAGTCATAATTTATCACATATTTACTATGTGTCTGAAAGTGCAATAAATTGTGAAGAACTAAAAAGAAATTAAGGTTAAGACAAAGTTTCTACTCTCAAGAATCCTATAATCTACCAGACACCAGTGGCTTATGCCAAACCTCCTTGCTACTTAGGAGGCTGAGATGGGTGGACTGTGGTTCAAAGCCAACCAAGGCAGAAAAGTCCATGAGACTCTTACCTCCAAATAACTAGAAAAAAAAAAAGCTGTGAGTGAAGGTGTGGCTCAAGGGGTAAGGAGCCAGCCTTGAGCACAAAAGCTAGGTAATAGTGAAAAGACTCTGCGTTCAAGCTCCAGTACTGAAACACACACAACTATATCTCACTGAAAAGGTTAGGAATATAATCTAAAAATAAAGTATCAAACTGTACAATGCAACAGTGATCACAGAAAAGAAAGAGTGAATAACTCTTGTTATTGAGTTCTTGGAGAGATACTCATGGGAGTGGGGTTAAGAATAGACTGACACAGATAAAGGATATGTGAAAAAGCTAGAAGACTAGGGACTTGAGCACATATCAAGGTACCACTCAAAGTATTCTGGTAGAAGACCACTCAACTGGCTTCTTGAAGACTGTTACTGTGTGGATGCTGAAGTACAGAAAGGAACAAGATAGTCTCTCTTCTAAAGGAAATTTTAATGCACTGATGGAAAAAATAGAAGAAACAAAAAAGCCAGTTGTTACTAAGCAGTAAGACAAATGCTATAATAAACCAGGGTGTTTTGGAGCTCTGGGATTACAATGGGCAGATTAGTACATAGTCTTTTATTTGATTCTTCGGAGCTGAGAGAGGCCATCTCTTTCCATCACCCTCAGATAGTATGAGAAAGGGGGTTGAACGCTAGACTAAGTTTCTGGGAGCTCACACAGGAAGGCTGAGGCCTTCCGGGTTTTTAGGAGATGTTTATCAGGGTAATTGGGAGGGAAAGCAACCTTGGTAGAGGAATGTTAAACACACAGGTACTGAATGTTAAACACACAAATACTGCTTGCTGGATGAAATACAAGCTGCCCACTTAAATCCGATTTCCATATAATCAGCTATTCATTTTAAAACAGAAGAATACCCTAAATACTGCAGGGACATCCACAGTCTGGGCCTCCTTGAACCCATCCTAACCCGCCCCAGGGACGCACAACCCCGCTGGGAATACCGGGCAGCTACCGTAAAGCCTCAAAACCGACTTGGCTGTTTTCCTTTTTAACATACATTTTGTTCCAGCTCAGCCCTGAGGGTGTAGCTAGCAGCTTACGGCTGACTGGGGTCAAGGGTCGATCTCGGCCGGCGGGCGCTTGTAGGGGGGGCAAAGGACGAAGGGTCACTCACAGAAAACAAAACACCCCGCCACAAATCCTCAGACGCGCGGGCTCTCACCGCAAGCCGTTGTGGCGCTTAGGAGGCAGGAAGTCCCGCCTCTGCCAGGCGGCCAATCAAGAAGCAAGCAATTCTTCCACTGCAGCCACCGAGAAACCCGAGCGGTGACTGACAACCGGAAGTAACCGGGGGGAGGGGGGGAGGTCTTCATACCGGAAGTGACCATCCCGCCGCTGTTTCTGTTGGCGTCTCAGGTGGGAAAAGAGATGTCTCGTCCTGCGGAGGCTCGGGGACCGAAGTGAGGGTGGGGGCAGGACTGTGATCCCGCAGGCAGACAATGGACTCCAGCAAGCACTGGGGAGAATGGTTCCTGAACCTGAGGGTGCCCCCCTCCGGGGTGTTCGGCGTGGCTTTCCTGGCCCGGGTCGCCCTGGTGTTCTACGGGCTCTTCCAGGACCGGGCCCTGCTGGTGAGGTACACGGACATCGACTACCACGTGTTCACGGACGCCGCGCGGTTCGTCACGGAGGGACGCTCCCCGTACCTGCGGGCCACCTACCGCTACACCCCGCTGCTGAGCTGGCTCCTCACTCCCAACGTCTACCTCAGCGAGCTCTTCGGGAAGTTCCTCTTCATCAGCTGCGACCTCCTCACCGCCTTCCTCCAGTACCGCCTGCTGCTTCTGAAGGGGCTGGGACGTCGCCAGGCCTGCGGCTACTGCGTCTTTTGGCTCCTTAACCCCCTCCCCATGGCGGTGTCCAGCCGAGGCAACGCGGACTCCATTGTCGCTTCGCTGGTGCTTTTGGCCCTGTACCTGATCGAGAAGGGATTCATCGCGTGGGCCGCGCTCTTCTATGGCTTCGCGGTGCACATGAAGATGTATCCCGTGACCTATGTTCTGCCCATCGCTCTCCACCTGCTTCCAGAACGCTACAGTGACCATCGATTCCGCTATTCTTTCCAGGCGCGGCTGTATGAATTCCTGAAGAGGCTGTGTAATCGCGCTTTGCTGATCTTCCTGACGGTTTCTTCCTTCACCTTCTTTGTCCTGACCTTTGGTTTTTACTATAAATATGGCTGGGAGTTTTTGGAGCATACTTACCTTTATCACCTGACCAGGCGGGATATCCGTCATAACTTTTCTCCATACTTCTATATGCTGTATTTGACTGCAGAGAGCAACTGGAGTTTTACTCTGGGAGTCGCTGCCTTCCTGCCCCAGTTCATCTTGCTTTCAGCGGTGTCTTTCGCCTATTACAGAGACCTTGTGTTTTGTTCTTTCCTTCATACATCTATTTTTGTGACTTTCAACAAAGTCTGCACCTCTCAGTACTTCCTTTGGTACCTCAGCCTTCTGCCACTAGTGATGCCACTCGTGAGAATGCCTTGGAAAAGAGCTGTAGTCCTCCTCCTGTTGTGGTTTATAGGACAAGCCCTATGGCTGACCCCTGCATATATTCTTGAGTTTCAAGGACAGAACACCTTTCTGTTTATTTGGTTAGCTGGTTTGTTCTTCCTTCTTATTAACTGTTCCATCCTGATTCAAATAATTGCTCATTATAAGGAGGGACCTCTAATAGAAAGAATCAAATATGATTAATGTCTGTTCTGGATCTTCTGCCACTTCTCTTACATTCTGTAAGAAGAGAAGTGTTCTGTATGGACCACAAAAGAACTTTGGGAATTTTTTTCCTAAACACTAAGCACTCTAGGGAAAGTTCCCTTGTTCCAACAAAATAAAACCAGTGTTTGCCTTATACATAAAGGGGACCCAATAATTTAGGTCCACCTTTTAGAATATCTTAGTAGTCATTTACTTGAAATATGATGGGAGGTAAAGGTTACTTGTTTGAAAATGGAAAGGCTGATGAAACAATCAGATGCTGAAAGACCCTTGTAGAACAGATGAATAAAAGTTAAGAGACACAAGTTCTAAGCCAGTATTTCTTCCAGGTATACTAGGCCAATGTTTTAAGCTATGCCTTCTCTTCAACCCCTCTCCCACCACTTTCTAATGTTTTCTTGGCAACTGTGAAAATTCACAAAGTTTTCCTAAAGTACAACTTTTTAAGACATAAGGTATTGAAGAATACTATCATACTTAGTTGGGAAAATTTTGTATTAAATGCCAAGGCTTAGAAGAGAAATAATCCAAAGAATTTAAGTTGTAATTATGGTTCGTGTATTGTTTTGTACTCTACTTTTTCAGCACTTAGTCACAGTGTTGTTAGACTACCATTTGGTTTTATATTAAAAAGGATTAAATATAAGTTCATCTTTAGATTTGTCATTACACTTTAAAAACATTTTGTTCTTCATGTTTGAGAGTCATAAACTCTTACTACATTCATATCTCTTTAGTTTTAAGTTACCTGATTGTTAGATCACTAGAATATTTTTCTTATACAGTTTGAGTTAATAAAATATTGTCTGCTTTGTAAAAATATTAGAATTCAGCCGGTTGGCAGTGGCTCATGCCTATAATCCTAACTACTCAGGAATCTGAGATCTGAAATCACAGTTTCAAGCCAGGCAGGGTAGGAAAGCCTATGATATCTCCAATTAACGACCAAAAAACTGAAAGTGGAGCTGTAGTTCATGTGGTAGATTGCTAGCCTGAGCACAAAAGCTTAGGGACAATCGCCCAGCTCCCCACCTCCCCCACACACATCAGAATTTAATTAATAATTACTAAATCATTCACAAGGCATCTTCCCATTCTATAAAATACTTCTGAAGATCACATAATGGAAATGGAGACCTAAGAGGAAGAGAGAGCTTAAATAGCATCCAAAAGAGCCACTGTTCTCTAGCAGGAAATTGCAAGGGGTATGGATATTGTGGAAATGAAGCTTTTGTAGACAGATCTGGTTATATTTCTGGAGAAATGGTGCTTTCTGTTTGCATAAGCATTCTAAAATCTTTTTTTTTTAATATAGCCCATTCAAGTTTTGGGGGCTTAACTTTCCAAAATGCAGTAGCAATAAACAAGTGTGATTTTGTGATCGTTATTTTATAATGATAATTTAACAGATTGTTTCTTTTTTAGTCAAAACAAAAAAAATCCTCTAAAAACCAAACACTACAGTAGTGTCCCTTCCTTCCTTTCTTCCTTCCCTTTCTTCCTTCTTTCTTTCTTTCTTTTTCCTTTCTTTCTTTTTTTTTTTTTTTTTTTGGTCAATTTAGGCCTAAAAAACCTTTAAGAGCAAAATGCCATTAGGTTAGTCATAATTAAGAATTATATAACTGACAGCATTTCTTGTTGTTTTGAGAACTGAAATTAGGAAGAAAACAATAAGTGGCTTTTTATGTGCTGCTGTTTGGACAAAAGTAGCAGCCAGTTGTTGGGGATATGACTTTATAACATCTAGTCCCTTATTAGATCTTATCTTGACAGTTCTTTATATATGATTGTTCAACTAGTGCTCTTTTTACTTTGGCATGTTTTAAAAGATAGATAGATAGGCATGTTTTAAAAGATAGATAGACAGACAGACAGACTGAGCCTCATGGACTTTCCTTCTTGAGCTGGCTTTAAACTGGGCTGGCTTTGAACCGTGATCCTCAGATCTCAGCATCCTGAGTAGTTAGGATTACAGGTATGAGCCACCAGTGCCTGGCATAAAAAGTCTTATAAACCCACAATACTTTTAAAACATATATATTAACATGCTATTCAGTTTTAAATATACCAGATGTTTTTTGTATTTAATATTGGAGCTGGGAGCATGACTTAGTGGTAGAGTGCTCACCTAGCATGCACAAACCCCTGAGTTCAATTCCTCAGTCCACATACACAGAAAAAGCCAGAAGTAGAGCTGTGGCTAAAGTGGTAGCCTTAAGTAAAAGAAGCTTAGGAACAGTGCCTGGCCCTGAGTTCAAGCCCCAAGACTGGCCAAAAAGAAAGAAAAGCAAAAGAACAGCTAATCTTGGGTCAAAATGTTTCTTTGAAAGAAAGAGCATAATAGGTAATGCATAATCAAGTTTAGATTTTAGCCAAGCAATATGGTCAACATTTTGTAGTCTTAGCACTTAGAAAGTTAAGGCTTCAGTTTAGACCAGCATAGGCTACGTGGAGAATTGCAGATCAGCTTTGGCTATATAGCAAACCCTCATCTCAAAGACAAAAACTTTCTTTTTCCCCCACTTTTTTTTTCTTTTTCTAATCTTTAAAACACAGTTGAAGACCAGGCATGGTGGTATACACTTGTAATTTCAGCTACTTGAGAGGTGGAGATTGGTACTATCATGATTCAAATCTAGCCTCTACAAAAGGACTTAGTGAGACTCCCCAGTAAGCTGGGCATGATGAGACATGTCTATAATCCCAGCTATTCAGACATAGGTAGGAGAAAGCAAAAGGGCTGGAATGTACAGAGGGGCATGTATGGCTCAAGTATTAGAGAGTTTGCCTACCAAACTTGAGACTGAGTTCAAACTCAAGTACCAAAAAAAAAAAAGTTCAAGGAGCTAGGGTACCATATTCATCTTCATCTTCCATCAAAGTTAAACATAGCCAGGTGTTGGTGGCTCACGCCTGTAATCTTAGCTACTCAGGAGGCTGAGATCTGAGGATCAAGGTTTGAAGCCAGCCTGGGCAGGAAAGTCCCTGAGATTTATCTCCAACTAACCACCAAAACACCAGAAGTAGAGCTGTAGTACTAATGTGGGAAAAAAAACCTCAGGGATTGCCCAGGCCAAGTTCAAACCCCAAGATGGGCACAAGTTAAACATTTAATTTGTGTGCCCCCTTTCTGTCTCCATAAGAAAATATAGAGTGGTGATCCTTATTTTTTTATCTGGTAAGTTTTGCAGATAAACGTTTAAAAATATTTAGGATCTTAATATCCATGTCCCCATGGCAATCATTGACACTGTCATAATGATGGTTATGATGAATGGTTTTGGGGTTATTCTGCCACATATAGTTTTATTTTTCACATTTCCAAGTTAGTGTTCTATATGTTGATTATATAGCTGAACAAAGACACTTAAAGATTATTTGACTTGCAGATAAGTGACAGATGTAGAATTTATAGTGAAACCTTCTGACTAAAATAAGTTTGGCTGGGAATGTGGCTCAGTGGTAGAGTGCTTGCCTAGCATGCAGGAAGCCCTAGGTTTGATTCCTCAGTACCACATAAACAGAAAAAGCCAGAAGTGGTGCTGTGGCTCAAGTGGTAGAGTGCTAACTTTGAGCAAAAGCAGCTCAGGGACAGTGCCCATCAAGCCCCAGGACTGACAAAAAGAAGAAAAAGTTAAATCCCACTGTGTGACTTAGCCTAGATCTTCATATCTAGATACATTACCTCACCATCTGTGAAATGGGTATAATAATACAATCACAGTATTGTTTTGTGCCCCAAATACTTATGCTGGTGCAGAACAGACCAATTATGTTCACACACCTTTAAAGCAGAAACTCCTTTGGGACTTGACAGTTAAACCTATCCATATCAGTCTAGTGTATATATGCATAGAAATTGTATTTATTAAAAGATAATTGTTTCCCTGTTTCTATAAACTTAGTTCATATTCATGGTATTTTTTGTTGTTGTTGTTGGTGGTGGTGGGGCTTGAACTCTGGGCCTGAGCGCTGTCCCTCAGCTCTTCAGCTCAAGGCAAGCGCTCTACCACTTGAGCTATAGTGCCACTTCCTGTTTTTTGGTGGTTTATTGGAGATAGGAGTCTCACAGTCTTTCCTGCCCGGGCTGGCTTTGAACCTCGATCCTCAGATCTCAGCCTCCTGAGTAGCTAGGATTACAGGCATGAGCCACTAGCGCCCGGCTCATGGTATTTTTTGTGTGCCAGTACTGAGGCTTGAACTCAGGGCTTGGGCTCTGTCCCTTAGCTTTTTCACTCAAGGCAGGCACTCTACTTCCTTGAGCCCCAGCTCCCATTGTGGCTCTTTAGTGATTTTAGTGACTTTTCTGTCTGGTCTGGCTTTGAACTGTGATGGTAAGATCTCAGCCTGGCTAGTGAGGATTATAGTCATGAGCTGCTGGAGCATGGCCTTCCTATTAGTCTTGGTCTGGTTCTTGGAAAGATTGTAAGTCCTGAATGTAAACATTCAGAGACAGATTAAAAAAAAAAAATTGTGCTGGTATGGGAGCTTGAACTCGGGCCTCTCACCCTCTCTTAGCTTTTTCATTAAAGGCTGGCATTCTGCCACTTGAGCCATACTTCCAGCTTTTTGCTGGTTAATTGGAGATAAGAGTCTTAGGGACTTTCTTGCTTTGGCTGGCTTCAAACTGAGATCCTCAGATCTCAGCCTCCTGAATAGCTAGGATTATAGACATGAGCCACCAACGTCTGGCTTCCAATTCTCTCTCTCTCTTTTAATGTCTAGTTCAGGCTTCATAGATTGTGTTTGTGTATTCCTGTCATACATTAGCTGATGAGGCTGTGAATTTGTGGCTTATGGCCTTAAATTACATAGCATTTCCTTTCTCTGTTGTGTTGAGGGTTCATTCAGAGGTTGGTGCTCTGTGGATAGAAGCACATGTCTTCTTGCCTGGGTCAGAAGTATCACACTAGTGCAAGCATTTATTCAGCACTGCTCTGGGAGAACCATTCATTGAGTCAAAAGAGGCATTCATAGTCATTATCCTGAACAAAAACCAGACTAAATGGGAACATTTCTAGCTGCTCAGACACTCTGCTAATTGCTATGTCTGCTTCATAAAATGAAATGACACTTATAGTGACTATTTAAAAATAATTTGGAGCACGACTATTTGAAGCACAGTTTATTTCACAAAGGAAATTTTAAACCTTCGCTCTCTATTCTTTGGCAGTTATTTATAGATCCCTGCCATGTGTCAAGTCTGATAATAGACAAGTTAGACAAAGCCTATGCTGTTGAGTTATCAGTACAATCAGAAACATATGCCATTAATAAAGTGTTATACAACCCCATTAAGTTTCACAAAAATACTGTGATTTATAAAATGGGGGTTTAGAGAATGTTATTATTCTTATTCTACAGATAAGAAGCCAGTGACTTTATAAGGCCAAAGTTTTGGTTAATAGCAAGACTAAAATAGAACCCAGGGCTTTTGACTTCTACTTTATTTTGCAAGTGCTCTATGCTGTATGACGAAGGCTAATTACACCAGAAGTATTTACTTATTTAGCAAATGTCATTTATTTATCAAGCAAATGCCATTCATTTACTTTGTGCACGCCCCTGAATATCTCCTATGGGCCATGCATTGCTCTATATTGTTCATGCAGCTTTGAGTGAGGCAAAGTATACATACAAGATTCTATGAA